TGTCCGCGATCTCTATCGTCTCGGTGTGGTCCTCAGTGGCCCAAGGAGCAGCCGCGTATCGTCTTGAATGGAGAGAGCGGTCTCCACCTAGCGCGCCGCGGCTTGAGCATCCACTTTTTGGCCACGAGCGCCGTGACCTGCAAGTCTGACTGCTCCGGCATTGGACCTGCGGTGTCGGCGGTCCGGTGGGATTTGTCATCCACGGCATTCGCGGTTGGTGTAGTGGTAGGCTGCCGTCTTGTAGGGGTCGAGGTGCTGGTACTGGTAGTAAGCGATCGCCGCGTGGGCTCGCGGTGCTGGTACTCCCGGGCGTACAGGTAGTCCTCGATCGTCTCGTAGGGCTCGTTCAAGAAGTCGCTGCCGGTCTCCAGGACACATATGCGAGGGTGAGGAGGGGCTGGCTTCTTCAGAGGCAGAGGTAGGCTTGTCAGTGATGTTCGTCTCCTCCTGCTCGTGTCCGAACTCTAGCTATGTTTCCTCGGTCTTCCTGCGGAAACCTGCCATCCGAGCTACCAGCTCCAGTTGCATGCTGTTTGCCGCCCCCAGCCCCTGAGGGCTTGGGATTGCCGCCGATGCGTACCAGAGCGCTGCTCCACCTGCTTTGGCAAGGGCCGCATCTATGAGCGAGGCCGGCTTGAGCGGGACTTGCAATGGGATGCCCATAACTTCCAGGGTATCCTGGGGCTGTACTGGCACATCATCTGGGAGGAGTGGTCCTCGCTCTGTTGCATAAGGGCCTTGGTAATAGGCTGTTTTCTTGGGGTTGACTCTGAGGCGCCAGCTTGCAAGACACGCTGAAGTATCCTATACTTAGACCGTATGGTCCGCCTAGGTGCCTGCTCAGATCAAGCTGTCGTCCATAAAGAGCAGTTCTGCTAATCTGAGATCTGGGGCCGAGCCATTAGATTGAGCCTCGTCAAGCGCTAACTCCGGGTCTTGCTGCTTTTCGCGGCCAGAGTCAGGCTGGGCTTCGGGATTTAGACTGTCAGTTGCTGGGCATGCAAAACGGCTGTGTACAGCCAATTCGGGCTCATGAGCACTTTCATCCGAGTCGGTTCAGTAGTCCATGAGTCTCTCCCATCGCTCCCCGATCTCTGCCTCCGAGCATACTGGCACTCTCGCTGCAGTAGTGGTATCCAACCATGGCTGGGGAGTCTTGCCTTCGATGATCTTGCCCCCTAGTGGCTTGGTTCGAAGAGCGCTGCCTAGGAGAGAGCCAAGCAGCCACACTGAGCCAGCATTCCACTCCACATCCAAGTTGTCCTTCTCGCTGGGGCTGGTCTCGAGCACCATCCCTTTTATCTTGCCTGCATGGCTGGACCTAAGTCTTTCCGGCTTGGTTTTGGACAGCGCCGCCCACAGATTGTTCCCCCTCTCCATGTGATCGGCCGATGCCTCTCGGACGGCTTGCGCAATGGTGATCATGCGGCGCTTCAGTGCTGCATCTGTCTCCCTTGGCCCAAGCCTCCATCGGCCAAGATGAAACCAAAGAAGTGGTCCATTTTTTGTTGAATCGTTCTGGAACGGCTTAATTTCCGTTCAAGCCGGTCATACCGCCGGACAAAAGGAGATCGTGACGCCGGCGAAACCAATTCTTGCCAGCCGTATTCCTTACAAACACATGTTTCAATTAAATGCCAAGGCCTATGCCCCCCATCGCAACCGAGAACAGCCACGGGCTTTCTGCTGCTCCTTGTCGTATCCCCCTAGTCTGTGTGACCAGGCCTTCTCAACATGGTGTGCGTATCGCGGCGGTTCGTGGGGCTGCAGCTGTCGTATTCTCTGTGCAGGTGTTCTGGTAGGGCTTCGCGAAGATAGTTCAGGGCTTTCCTCCTGTTGAGACCGAAGGCCCGCTAGGCAAGGGCGTTTTGGGAAGCAACGTGACTAATGGTCTGTAGCCACTCTTTGGGAATGGGTCTGCCCCGTCTGATGTCCTCCATCCAATCTAGCAGTGCTGCAGCTGAGATCTCGTCTGCCATAAGTGCCTTGAGCAACTCGTAGGACGTGAGGTCGAGGCCAACCGATCGTCCTGTTCTGCCTTTGGCGACGGCCGCCTGGAGTTCTTCCATGGTGAAGGGGTGGGATCCCGCTGTGAAGATGCTTCGGAAGTGCTCGACCGTACATTGCAAGGGTTCGCGACCTGAAGCATATAGGCTTCCTCAGACATGTGAACTGCCCAGGCCGTGCCTGGTTGTTGTTTGAGCTCTCTGTGGTCAGTAGTCTTTTCACCCTCGTTGGGAGGCTCGCTCAAGCTTGTCCTTATGCCACTTGTCCTGTGCTGTTCTGTGCCCACGGTGAGCTGCCGTCGGACTCGTCCCCTGTTCTTCGAGCTTTCCTATATAGGTCTTTCATGGGGGTCTCTATATCGGGTCCCGGGTTTGGCTTTGGTGTGCTTTCGGGCGATCTGCATGAGCACATCTTGGTCTAAGACCAGCTGGGACGGGATGGGGCTAGTGACCACTCTGGGCTCTGTGGGGACGAGGGGTGGCTTGTCTGCATTCGGCGTGGTGATGCTGAGCTGGATTCGAGACCTTTCCTCTATGCTGACGGTTGGTCGTGGGTAGTGTGCCACTGCTGCCCCGTCAATCTGCCGGCCCCTCGCCCCAGTTCTACGGGGTCCCATTGGCATGGCTCCGGCGCGCCAAACTGGTATCCCCTTCCCTTGACTTCGTTGACCAAGTTGTCAGCTCTGCCGTTGGTTGCTCGGATGTGGCCTCGCTGCCCGGCCCCTGAGCTCCACTCAAGGTGGGTATTGAAATCAGCAAAACGTATTGCGGGTCGTGGCACGGAGGGCCTGAGCTTCAAAAGCGCCTCCGCCTCCTCCTCTGTGACATCGTCTGTCACTCCGGTACTGAACCTGGCGGAGGAGGTCCAGAACTCTGCCTCCGTGGCCACATGCTTCAACCTGAGCCACACGCCAATGTGGCCGGCTTTACGCCTTAGGCAGATGAGCTCGTCCGCTGGACAAAGTACTCCGTTCCCTCTCCACTGGAGAAAGTCATCTCTATACTGGATGAGTGTGTATTTGGTGTGGACTGTGGTCGTGCTCCACCCGGCGTGGGTGCGGGGGAGCTCTGGAAACCAACGATCATATCAGTTCGCTGCATCTGTGTCGTGGAAGCCTCGATGGCCTTCAGTGCGTCTTGCACCGGTTTCCCACTGATGTTCCACGAGAAAAGGTTAATTAGCAAGCGGTTTCTCGGGGCTGGTTTTTGAGACTCTATGCCTCGATCCGGCTTCGGGTGAGCCTGGTCGCCTGCAATGGAGCCGTTGCCCCCCCCCCCCCCACAGGCGATCCAGGAAGTTCCCAGTGCCTCACTTCGTCGGCCCTGACGAGCACCCCAACTGTTATTATGCACGGGATCACGGCACAACCCCAGAGGCTGGTGGGAACGACTGGCCGGGTCATTCGTTCGAGCGTTGAAGCGATTTCTGTGGCACTTCATGAAGATGTGCTTTCCTTGTATGGTCGAGCGACTCAAGAGGTGAATCATGAGCCCTCGATTCTTGAATTCATTTCGAAGCTCCACCACAGCACTAAAAACAGTGCGGGGTCGTGGTGTTAGCGGTCCATGAAGGACATCCGTGCAAATTTCATTCACTAGTCCACTCCCCTTCCGAGGACAAAAGGTGGGCAATCAGAGAGGTTGCACGTAGTATCGACTGCATCTGGGTTTTGAGCAATACTCATTCTGTTCAACTGTCGGTTGATGACCCCAAACAGCCCAAAGCTCTCAATTTTTGATGATTGGGGGCAATGGTGGCGCGGCCTGGAAAATCCTACGTCGGTTGCCACGAAGAATAGCCGTCTACTTACTCCATCTAGCTTTTCTCTGAACGGCACCGAGAAACAATTCGCATCAACAGAAGAATGCATGCTGAAACCCCGTCTCCAACCACCCACAAAATCATCTCCTGGATGTGTCCAAGTCGCCAAGTGTTCGCCCCAACACCACCTCCTCCAGCAGCCAATCCATGTCAGGCTTGTAGATGGCCCTCAAAGCATCAGGGAAGCTTGGAGATCAGGTTTCATGAGATTTACAGCCGGGATAGCTGGAGTGGTCATGACCGTTGTTGCAACATGAACAGAACGCTAAATACTGCGGATCACGACGGCGTTCATGGTGAACCGCAATGCTCCCGAAGTCCCAGTCAACCCAGGTGCAACTATTCCTGGCAAAGGCACATATCGCCCAGCAAGGACAGCACGGCTGGGGCTGCAGTTCCTTGAATCAAATTCTCATCTGCTTTGAAGTGGTCCCATGTATCGTAGCACGTCCAAGCGGCTTCGTTAAGCTGGCGGACCACTTGTTGACTTGATGCTACTCCAAAGATTCCGTAACTTCGGGTCTCGTAAAAACCACGATGTGCAGCATTGAAAGCGGATCTATCCATCAGCGCTGTCGAGGATTGGGAGCTTGTTTCGGTTCTGCAGCTGCAACCCTGGTCACGAGCTCCCTGGGCGTGAACGAAAAGCCTGAACTTCACTCTAGAGCCTACAGTGCTCTGCCGTAGGGTAGGCTTACCACACAGTTGAGCCAAGCTTCCGAGCTGCTTATGCACATATGACAGCAGGGGGACGTCGTTCACGTCGGTGGTGAACTTCCTTCGATTTCTACCGGAAGCACCGACACCAAGCAAACGAGGGTCGTGACCATGCTGGATGCCTTCTGATGCGCAAGGAGGACATGAACCTTTGCATTCCTCATCTAAACAGTTCACATACGGATAAAGCCAGGAACCCTTTCCTTTTCAAGAACTGCTTGATTCATGGAAAAACATATCTGTGTGGAGATGTAGGCACAAGCTTCAGTGAGCCAGATCGACCACGATCTCAAGAGTCACTGCATGTACTGGATAAGAGTCAGCACCCGAGATCGCATGTGCGCAAGCTTCAAGTCACAGCTATTAAAGATCACATCCTTCCAGCCAAACAATTACATACTGACTTCGACGCCCCAGGACGAACCATCATGCACTGAATGTTTCTGGCATGCCAGTCAGGGCGTTGTATGTATCATGAAGCTAGAACTTGAACCGAGCTTCCCAATCGCGTATTCGTCTTCTCTGTACGGGAGGAAGATCACCTTCACGGCCCCGTCTGCCTTGAAAGTGATGTCTGGTGACCACCTGAATGTTGCCACATGTACTGTTCAGGGTCGCGTCGATTCTGCTCTTCCAAGTTGTGCAGTATTTAGTGCTCAGGACTTGACCGTTTTGTCGCTTTGATAGCCGTGCCCTCACGCCAAGTTCGTGCTTGTTCATCTTGAGAGATTTCATGTCTTGCATGGAAGGACTTGACATCATCGGCGCTGCAAGAAAGCCATCTACAATTGTGCAGCATCCTCTGTCGCTACCCCGGAGACCTTGAAACAATGTGCTGCCTCAGAGGTTATTTGCATTTTGGTTTCCCCACAGAAAGAAAAGGAAAAATGCTCAGGCAGTTCGCAGACTTCATGTACATCATATCTGCACTGCACAAGTACTGACAAGTAGAGTGCCTCTGCACATGCAACCCCGTAGTCACAAAGAATTGAAGAATGCTTGTGCACTGCACTTGGAAAAGCCACAAACAAAGAAACAAATGGTTGATTCGAACCGGGCACCAGTACGAGAAGGTTCTATGCTGCTTCGGCATAGACGTGTAATCGGAGTACGCGATCGTATTGGCAATGGACATGGCGATGTTGTAGACAGCAGCCTTCTGCCGCGATGGGTTGTAGGACCTGACAAGTCGTTGGATGTTCTTGGATGTCACGGGATAGAGACATCAAGCTGGACAGCACCAAGCTAACATCCCAGCTGCCAGAACGAGTTCGTGATCATGGGAGCACAAGTCATTGGCGCATCCCGGCAAGCTGGCGACATCCACCACTTCTCCTCCAACGTGCAGGCGTGAGGCTTACTGAGTATGGGAACAACACGCATCCTCTGCCGGTCTCAAGGCCCCCCCTTCGCAAAGCTTTAACTGTCCCATCCCCTGCTCGCAATCTCGCCGCCTGGTAGCAGGTCCACTTCCTCTGCCCGTTGACAGTGACTATGGCATCCACATCGCCTGTGAATGTGATATAGTCGTCCATGACTCCATCGGATGCCACGGTTGGGTGACTGCAGTCGTCAAAAGCCGAAGGATCGGAAAAGACCGACATCGGAGAGAAGTAGTTCTGATAGTTGCCCCAACTGACATTGAGGTCCTTGTAGAACTCAAGTGACTTGCCCGAGTCTGCGTAGTATGGCTCATAAGTCTTCGGAAAGATGTACATGCCGTCTGTCCCTGAATAGTCCAACGCCTTCACTCGGTCAAGGGCCTTGTCCGGATTTGCTGCATTGAAACCTGCAAAGCGGAAAATATGACAAATCTTCAATCGAAATCCGAACTTGGTACAGCAAGATACAAAAGGTTGACAAATTGCAATTATGGGTAGCTTGCGACGAAGGCAGTCAATGCATAATCCCACAGTTCTTGGGCAACGTGCACTGTCGGGTCGTTGGCAGCGAGCTCGAACGCGTTCGGAGAGCCGGATCCGAATGGCCCCAGCTTCGTCCTGAAGCCAATGATCTCCTTTCATGCACGGGCATAACGGAAGAGCGATCAGAGCTGAGTTTAACCGAAGCTCCTCAACAAGAATCGAAGCCACCGTATTGTAGATAATGGCGGATTCCCAGTTCGGATTGGTGAAGCCAATGGGCACTGTATAGCCGTCCTGCATACATCTGTTCTCACGTGGGGAGGTGGGTGTGCCGGCGCGGTGGTGCGTGCGTAACAGCATACCAAGTTGCAATAGTGACGTTCTTGCGCTCTGCAACGGGGACATACCCCTCCGTCGTTTCCGGAAGGCAGCTCGAGCCTTCAGCAGTCAATCGGATAACAGAATCGTCAGCTTCAAGGTCGAATTCGAAAACAACTACAACAAGGAGCACACAATCAGGAACCCCGTCGCTCCACTTGTCTGCCTCGGAAGCCAAAACAGAAACCTCGACATCCCGTTTTGCTTGACAGACGACGACGACCACGACCACACCAACAAAAAAATGGAAAAATAACAAGTATTATAGGAAGTAGCAATAACAATAACAACAATAGTAATGATGAAGCTAATAAAATAATAGTAATGATAATATACTATAATCAGAACCATAATCGTAATCGTCATGGTAGTAGAGAGTATAACTTCTAATACTCGCTGTATTAACTATAAACATATTCCAGTCATCTTGATAGCAACAGTAGTTCCAGTCGCTGTCGTCATCGCAATGGTAAAGGTACTAATGGCCGTAGGAGGAACAGGAATAGTAACCCCAACACTAACAGTACCAGCAACAGAGATAGCAACAGCAAGGGTAATAGTAGCAGCAATAGCAATACTGAGCATAATCGCAATAATCTTGCCAGACACAGAAATGATCATAAGTGCTAAGAACACTAGTAATGGTCTAGTCATAGTTAGTAACGGCAAGGGTAAACAGTCATTGAAAGGGTGTTGCAACTGCTTGTCAGCGTTTTCCGCAGTTTGCAGCTGGCTACTAAAGGGTGCTATAGCTGGTTGCATTTCTTTTGAATGCGTCTTGCAGCTGGGCTTACGGTATCAACGAGTTTTGAACAGGTGTTCGTGGGCACACAAGATTCGAGTTGGTGTTCGAGTGGATTTTCAAGCATGCGGATTCGAGCTGGTTATGCAGGGTTTTAGATCTGGTTGTGAGTGGCTTCATGAGCGTTTAGAGTTGGCCGCAATAGCTTCTAACAATCTTCCAAACTTGTTACCGGGGCTTTCTAACGAAAAGCCTCAATCCAATTTACGAATGCTCGAAAACTGGTGCTCCGACCGTTCCATTCCAGGATCGCCAGGAACAGGAACAGCAAACCTCTCCTTAAAGGTCCTGCGAACCAGGATGCAAACGCATCTGCTATGCTGGTTATCATGGCCTGTGTAGGACAGCCTCTGGTGTGTACAAGCCTTCATCTTGCAGGCCACGGTGCTGCCCGACAAAAACCACTGGTTTCACCCAGTCATAAGTCACTCTTTAGCGAGAACACCCAAGCCATCATAGCGCAACGAATCAAACCCTGTTTGGGACCTATGCTTACTGAGTTTGGAGTCCGAGAGGCTAGCACACCATGCAAGCAACCAGAGGCAGCGAAAACGAATCATCTCCCGGAGGAACGCCCCACCACTCTGTGTCTTCAGTCCTACGACTTGGGACTCGAGCAATCCGGCGTCGGAGAACAGCTACGAATCCTCCGAATTGGGGCGGTCCGGTCATACACAGAACAGGAGTGAACAGATTGTTGATGCCATCTTGTCGGCAGGGTGTGCTCCTGCCGATTTTGCGTGATGGTTCCCAATGCGAGACTTTGGACTTTGTGGCGGAGACGCTGCGTGGAACGGTGATAAATCTGCACCTGGAGGCCACAGCAGATGATCGTGAATCGGCTGGATCGTTGCTTTGAAACCGGCATGTTGCAAAGTTTCGCATAGCTCCACCAAGCAAGCGATCTAGAACCCCGCTGATTGAACGCAGCAGTGACATGCTTGTCGAGTTGCTGGCCACAGCTTCCTCACGCAGGTGAAGCTCAAAGTCTCTAAGTGTCACGCGACGTGATCTCTAGACTTTCCAGATTCGCTACTCGGATCGGTTCAGCTTACAGTAATGACTCCAAAAACGACTCCAACAGCTCCTTCTTCCCTGCATCTTCCTACCTTGAAGCTTCCTCCTGCTCACTCATGATCTATCGCGGGCGATAGCTCCTGTTCATAACACAATCGACTCAGATACTCCCAATCCGAATCAGCTCCTGTTCTGCACAGGCCCCGCCGACTTCGCGGTTCATCTGGTGGGGGGGGGGGGGGGGGGGGNNGGGAGGGGCTCTTTGCTTTACAAACATTGCCTTTGAAGATACCCTCTACTGACCCCATTTCTACACCGCTGCTACTGCTGTGCCAAGTCCAAGAACGCTTTCCAGCACACTTCGTTAGCCAATCCAGGTGGGAGAATGTCAACGCTGGGCGAAAAGGGAATATGGGGGCAGCGACCTCGCATTGAATCTAGCTGCAGACACCGTCAGTGGTGCCACGTGATGCACATCTGTGCCAAAGATGATATCGACAAGACACAAAACGAAAGCAGCCGTTCTGTTTACATGGGGGAAGGCCATCTCTTAAGGGGGAGAAAGGGCAAGGGCAAGGAAGAAGAGGAGCCATCGCCGCGCTCGCCCTCGCCTTCACCTTTGTCCGCAATCTGCAGGCCGCTGTGCTCGAAAGCCGGGTGCTTCGTTTCGTCGGCTTCAGCTCGTTGGCGCGTTCTTCAAACTTCATGTCAACCGGGCATCTCTTCTGTTGAGAAGCCCCCCGCGATTCCCGCTTAGGGGCATGAGGTTTTGGGATCCTCTCGCTTCAACGAGGCATCAGAGCGCGAAGGATACGTCTAGTTGGTACTGCAGGATTCAAAGCGAGCCAATCTCCAATGCATATGTTCGCATCAGGCCAAGATGTACGAAAAGCACCAACTGCCCCAGTGTGGCAAAGGAGGCACCATTGCTGAGCCTACGCCGGTCACTTGTTGCTGTCATTGTTTTTGCCGGCGGAGCCATGCAACAGCACAACCTGCCACGGGGTTCATGCAACACAGTAACTTTGCATGAATGCCAGACGGGCGCCTGCGGCAAGCAGAACCAGTGTCACCATTCCGATCCATCCATCGTGGGATGCACGCTCGAGAACCTGCGAAGCAGGATCTTCCTCACAAGATCACAAGCGTTTGCAAAGTCCCGGGCAGGAAAAGGCATCAAGATTACGAATCTCCGCTGGACACTCTGCAGGAGACCTGGAGTCAGTCCCAACAGCTGTGAGGACTGTGACTTGTGGCACCCGATGATCCAACACCACAGAGTTTGGTAGACGGTATAGGAGTGAAAGAGTAGCTCGTGGTCTTAGGTTACCCGAGTCTCTGGTGCGTCTGGTGACGACCAAAGACGGGATGGCAGGTTTACGACCCGTCTGTGTCCTCGGTATCCCATGCTCACACCCAATACGCTCAACCATCCACCGAACTCTTCCGGTTTCCTGATGCCCAAACTGAGCTCTTGGGCTGAGGTCCGTGCTATGGAATGCAGGAGCTTTGGAAGACCTCGGTTTGATCAGGCAGAGCCCCAGGGCTGCTCGCAAGACGCTCTTCGAAATATAGGGGGCCAAGGCCAGGGTTGATTTTGTTTTCGGCTTCGGGTCTCCCCTACACACGAGAAATTTGCAGAAGAATTGCAGCAAGCCAGCGCAAATCTGCTCGCCAAGGCTAGGGTGCAGGTCTGAGGGCTTAGGATCCCGGGATAGGGTTAAATGTCAAGGCCGTTTGTTTGAGGGCTCTTGCCTACTTAGCCTTAGCAATTGCGTTGAGTCACCAAGAAAATATAGGACCGTTTGCGGGTTAGGGTAGGCTATGGAAGGCTTGATCACTGGCAGCAGCGTACCTGAGATGTCCGAGCGCCCCGAGGAAGGACAGGAACCAAATCTTCACCGAACTGATTGAACTGATAGCCTAGGTTAGGGTTGTAAGTGTTGAACCCATGGCCTAGAGAAGATTATCCGAATTGCTGTGTTTTTCTTCGCCTGTCGGAGTTTGCCCTTGTCGCGATTTCGTGCAGGCTGCTGACAACCCCGCCGTCAGCCTACGTCTCAACTGCTACTCGGTTGATGACACGACTTGCCCTTCTTGACCAGTCGAAAGCTCATCATAGGCTCCAAGATGTGAGGCGTCACGGCCAAGTGTCCAGAAATATCCCCGGCCTGTTTTTCGTTTGTTGTCAATGTTTCAAACCATGTGGGGCATCCAAGAAGAGTTCCCACTCTTGGAAGGTGACGACGCTACCTAAGTCTGAGTCTGCGACCGTTTTGCGGCTCCAGATGGATCCAAATGTCAAGCTTCTCCTTGCAAGTCTGGTTTCGGTAGATATTCGGCGATGGGCAGTCAAGCGTTGGCCCGACAAAGGTGTCCAGGGGCCCCTCTGCTTCAGCCTCTTTGTATGCTGTCACCAATGAATTTCGCAGGACATTCTTCTGACCCCTCACTAGAATTGACTGGAGATAGTTTGGACATTTACCAGTCCCCAGTCGACACCTTGGCTTGGGCATAGTTGCCGACTTTGAGGTAGGCCAGGGCCAGCGTGTGCAGACAGTCTGGGCGGTGGAAACCAACCTTGCGGCGATCTACTTGTGCTGCTTTCGATATACAGGCCCCGTCCCACCTAGGTCCTTCAAAGGCAAGACTTCTGCAGCTTAGCTCAAAACTTTGCTGCTAAACTGCATTGCTAGCGGGTCTACGAGCCAGGGTCTCGAGATCAGCTGGGAAAACAGCACAGAGCGAGAGAGCTAGCCAGCGAGCGTGCGGGTGCGGGCGTGAGTGCGTGCTTGCTGGTGTCAGATAGATATGGGTGCGCGCACACTGGAACGGCAGTGCTGTCTTAACGCTTTAAGCCAATCAACCAAGGAAAGATTCCCTGTTCTTCGTCCTAATTTAAAGCAACAGACAACTGACCTTGCGATTGCGTCAAATTCATCGCGGAGTTCTTAGTTGTCTGAAACACTCAGGGGCGACAGACAGGAAAAGTTGAACGGGGGAGGAGAAGAGACGGAGACGGAGCAACTGCTCACAGACAGACCGACAGCAAAGAGAGTCCTGAGCGGGACAGGGACGAGAGACAGCGACAGAAAGAACAATATGGAAAGAGTCGCAGAGACGGACGAGCAGGAAAACAACAAAGACACGAAACGGAGAGGAGCAGAGAAACCCAACATGAGAGGAGAAACCGGAGAAACCTTCTGAAGCTGGACACCTTGCATGCCAAGGCTTGAGCTTGCTAAAACCACATTACAGACAAAGAACATCGAACAGCTCGTTCAAGAGGAAAATGCCTTCTTCGATGTCGGCATACCTTCCCCGGTGAAGGCGGTTGAGCTGGAAAGCCATGGAAGATTGACATCAGCCCCTTCGTTAGGGCATGAAGCTCCGGCATTCATGATGCTTAGAACTTGTTTCCACTTGGCGGGCCTTGACGAAGAGATCAGCGCTTTTGCGTAATTGAACCTGACAGGGTCAAAACAAGGACTGAGTTGCTGCCCCTGTGTGTGGACACATTGCATTGTAATTTACAGCACATTCTTGCCTGCGGCCTAATTCGGGACGGGTACGAAACTTCGTTAAAAACATTGCTGTGCCTGTAAAGAAGCCATCCTGTGCTGTCATCCTACGAGCATGGATGCTCGGTCCCACAGTATGCACTGGGAACATAGACGTCATCATCCTTCGCATGGATCCTCGGGCTCAAGATATTAAAAGCACAAAATGCAAGCATCAACATCCCTGAGAAAACGCATCACAACCTGCAGCTCCAGCACAAAACCCTGAACTTTGCAGACGCAAAACAGAAACCCCCAAGCAAACTCAACATCAAGAGGAAAACAACACCCACACAGGAAGCAAAAACAACATCAAAAACTCCAGGACAACGGGCAGCGCGGAGCAAAACTAAGAAGCAACAAGAGCGAAACGACATGAAGAGACGCTGAAAGAGATGGTCGCGGAGTCAGGTCAGCCACCTGGCTGAGACAACCGGGGTCACCAAAGCACGATAAAGCTCTGCAAGCACTCTCGGGCTTCGAAGACTTTAACATGAGGGGCATAGCCAAGGCATAGCGGTATGATGCGATTCGGAGCGAACCGTGATTCGTACACCAACGAGAGGACGGCTTCTCACGATGGTAAAGAGAAGTCGCATACAGCTTCAGTACGCATCGACCGAGTTCGCGGTGGATGGCCCAGTTCTTCAGACACAACACTTCGGACGAGGCGGGTTGTTCTGGGGAAGGGAGACAGGGAAGGGACACTGCTGACGTTTTATTTCCGGTTCGACGCGGTGAGCACTATCTCGATGGGGAGAGCAGCACTTCCGTCAGATCCAGGACCGGACACCATTCGTTGGCAGCCCGATGGCAGAACTCGGTATAGCTATCGAATGTCGTTTTTGTTGTTGCACTTACAGGCACTTGCTGCTTGCAACGATCATTTCCAGCAGGAACAAAACATCGCCACTCAGCCTTCTTACATGTCAGATGTCGGTACTATTTGAATGTATCCACCTGATCGAGAGCAAGTCTCGTTCCTTGCTTCCCAGACGATGCGGACTGAAATGTGGCCAGGAAGCTGAAGTCTCGGAGACGGCAGTGACTTTTCCACCTGGCCACAAGTGGCAGTGCACCAGGACGTTTTCGCTTCTTCGGGATGCAGGCGGTATGGGAGAAGCGCCGCCTTTCACACACTTCTTCCCTCTGCAAACCGCCTGTGTTTGGTACTCGCATCGAAGAGTCTGGATATCATCGGCCATCATTGACCTCAGAAGCTGAAGATGCCTCGAACCGAACAAATCGAATTGTGGGTTCACTACTGCCCAGGCATGTATACGAACCGTGTAAAATCTAAGGGCTTGCGCTCAAGGGCAAGGATTCAAAAGAAAAAGGCGTTCCCGCACAAATTCCATTCTACAAGTACTGGGGGGCTGCTGCGTCGTGGATGTTCGGACACCTGAGAGCGTAGACACGCAAGAGGAGATCCTGAGTTCACTAGCACGTCAAGGCTTGTGACCTGAACAAACACCCCAGATTTGCCCTCCGCAAGCCGGCGTTCAAGAGACCCTTGCGCAGTGCTGCCAAACCGGGTGCCAAGCGGATCCCAATCAACCGGGAGGGACATTGATGGGTTTGGAGCCGGTGCCGGCTCGGGCGCTTCAGCGGCCTGTTCCTCGGTGGACCGGAGCCCGCAGTGATGCGCCTCCTGTGACAATGCCGTGTGCGAGTTCTAGGTTTTAGGTCTGTCGGCCTCACGGAGCTCGTACAAGAAATCAATCTCTCGCCCATGCTCGAATGCTCTGCACATCACGGACAGATAGGTCGGCGAACAAACGCGGCGTGGTGTACAGGCTCAGTCGCGCACCATTTTGCCGCCAGGAGACTTCCAACGGCTCAGTCGCGAGTTCACAAAACACAATGCAAGTTGACATTGAGTGCTTGTTGGTAAAATCCGCAAAGACCAACCGAACGCCTGCTAGACTAGAGCATATCTGAAGCATTCTCTGGCTGGGCTTGGATTGCTAGGTGTCCTTTCATGTGCAGATCTTGAGCCTGGAGGTTGACGCACGCAAGAAACGCGGACCCCATTCCTCTTCACTCCTGAGATGCCCTTGTACGTTCAACTGCACCTTTTTCCGGCGAACAAGCAAGAAGCCTCCTTGTACACAGAGACGGTGTTCTTGCTGGTAATTTAAGAATCCCGCAAGGTTGGCAAGCTGGGGATGATTTTTCTCACGGTCATGGGGCGTTGTTGATAGTTGTTGCCCAGGGTTTCTGTTGGAAGCCGGCCGTCCCTTCGCTCAGAACCTTGCGGCATCACTGTACGACTACATAGAAATGGAATGATTTTCGACAGCCTGGGAGCTGTCTTCGCATCCAAGATAGGTTGAGGTCATGAGCCAACAGCTCTCACTGGCTCACACCCCTCTGAAGCAGAGGGGAAGTCTTCCGTCAAAGCACGGAGTAGAGAAGACCAGGCACAGCCAGGCTTCCTCTATCGCAAGAATCTCAGCCAAACGTATGCGTTGTTGGTGCCAAGGCAATCTAGAGGCAGCAGCGCCGCTAGGCAGAGCTGGTACACTCGGAGAGGCATTGCTGTTTTTGTGTCGACGCTGCTGCCTCAAAATGACACCTAGCAGAATCCACCACAGGACCTGTGGCGCAAAGCAAATTAAAAGTTGATCCGAGAAGCAAGGGCATTCCTTGACCTCTCCAGCTTCGCTGTTTTGCGGCGACCCTTGCGCCGAAGCTTCGATGTTGCATGTGCCTATTGCGAATTCGGCTTCACCGCAGTCACCAGCCAAACTGGATCCCCATGTTGTGGGCTGACATCCTTCAAGGCTGAAACAAAGCGTGGACTCATTGTCACTCTTCGGTGATGCGCTTTCTGAACCCAGGAAGCCTGGAATACCCTTCGCTCCGAAAGTGCATGAAGCTTTCAAAACAGCTGGCATGACTCCACGACGCCGGGCCCAAACACGCTGCGTTCAAGCTGCCACTGTCGCCAGCTTCTCCCAGCCACCACATGGCCCGTGCTGGAAGTAGCGGCCTCATACGGCTAGGGCAGAATTGCCTGCTAAGCCACAACTCGGCTTGTTCCAATTCTCAGCTGGGGCTAGGTCAAAGCCTCACTTAGTGAGGACTTCCTTCTTTCGAAAGCGAATTGGACTTGACTGAGGCCCTGACTCACAAGGTGTGCATGCCCTTCGCCGTCGTCAGGCTCGGCTGCCCAAACCTGCACCGCCTTGGCAAGTGCAAAGCTTGTGCCACACTGTGCCCACTGACGGGTTCTCCCGGCCTTCTCAATGAATGCACGATGGGAGAAGGCAACCTTACGGCAGCGCCAGGGCTATGCAAAACATCTCGCAGTCGGATACAAGTGCCACAACTGCAAATCAGAACTGAATGTGAAGCGAGCAATACAAAATCATTGGGAGCCCTCTGTATGCTCGCAAGAGCCCTTCACATGTTAGTGTCTAGAGATCAGGGCTTGGGGCTCAGGGCATGACTCGACCCTCCAATGCAGGCACTCAGCCACTGCGAGCCCGCCGGGCTTCAGCACACGATTCATCTCCGTGAAGACGGCACGGGGGTCTGTCAGGTATTGAACCTGAGCTGCGCCGGTCCAGGACGCCTTTGAATCCCCCAACGAAAACGAGACATTCCAAGAAGCACTGAGCGCAAGCGTGACGATGTCAAAACTGCCGGAGCTCCAGGGCAGGACAGGATTCGAATTGAGATCCTGGCACCAACACCGCCAGGGCTCTTGAGATTACTACGGTATAGCAAAGTTACCCTTGCTGACGAAATGAGAAATCAGGCTTCATCCTCCGCTGTTCGACTTTGTTTCTTGGTTTCTTCTTCTGCACAACACCCGGCTGAAGACCAGCATGCATGGTGGGCTTGACAAAGACCTCATCCCCCGTTGTCCTGCACATGGCGCTCACTTGCCTCCGCGCATAGGGAAATCACTTGGGGTGATGCTGCAAGAACTGTGGAACCCAGCACTAACAAGCACAAGGCCTACACTTTCTTGAAAGTTGGATATCCAAGAACTTTGACACTGTTCTGCTTACGAGCATGACTGCAAACTTTCGATGTCCTCACGCAGTGAACGAAAGGAGTAAGCTGACCTGGACTCGACAGCTAGTCGTAACAATTGAAAAAAAACCGGCCTGCACATTTGCCTCCAGCTCTGCTGAATTCAAGCCATGTACTGCTACCCGCGATGCGGCTCCTCGGCTTGACTCGGGCGTGGCGGGACCAAGTCCAGGATTTACGATTCACTCAGAGGCACTAAATTACTGTCCAGGTATGATTTCGTTTTGTTGGAGCGGGTATGTAGGCTTGCATTCGGGGTTAACTGTCCGATCGGCCAAATCAGCGCGAAGCTTTGGATTGGTATTAATTTCAATAGCGTCAATAGGGGCCAGTTAGGCCAGCGCCTTGTCACCATCTGCGTTGCTCGAACCGAAGGCTCGGATCGGACAGACTGACTCGGCTACAGAGTGAAGCGGTAGCGCAACATGTATGGCGCCACTGCAGCCACTTGGATCATACCACAAAAAAACGAGTCTCTCTCCATGACTCTCCATACATGTATTTCTCACGTGTGTTGTGAGGTCATCCTGGAACCGGTAAGTGTTGCTAGCCACCTGATACCTGATCTCACGAACTTGCTGGGAGCAGAAGGCCT